TGCGCCTTGCCGCGGAACTGCGCGCAAGATCCGCGCTGAGCGGTTAGGATCAACACATCCTGTCAGGATGTGTTCTCTGTTATCCCGTCTCATCTGGATTAAGAACCAACCAAAACATATGTTTACATATAAACAGGAATGCAGCCTTTATTGCCGTAGGCTACTCTGCAGCCCTACGAAAACACAAATCTATACATACACAACACCAGTACACACAACTGGCCCTCACTCCACAACTTCCACTGAAATTACAATCACAAACTAGTCAGAATACAAGGCAAGAACATAGCATATAATAACAAAACACAAATCTATAAATTGTACCAGACCTAAATTGTACCAGCCCAAAAGCCACAACACCACCAAACGCTTACCCAATGCACGGGATCCGATCGCTTTTGTGCCGTCTAAACGGCCCTAGTGGAATGTCTTCCGAATCTCCGATGTACCTGTACATTGGGTGACTTTAAAGTTGGTGTTGGTGTAGGTGTTTGGTGTTGGTGCCAGTGTATTGGGCTATGCATAACATAGGCCAATAACCCAAACACCAACTTTAAAGTCACCCAGTGTACCTCATAATTTTCAGTTGATGTACACATAGTTCGAATATGAGATAACAAGCTTTCTTTTGAAGAATTTTTCCAGAAGTAAAATGCACCACTATGCATGATATTCTGATACAGTACATAAATGGGCATACAAGTGATGAGTTTCTACATGAAACCCAGGAAACAAACCCCTCCATGAACATAAAGATGTACCACAGTAAAGATAACGTTCAATTCAACGCTAGAAACGGAACCCAATTGGCACGGACCCCCATGTGCAGTCTTGTTGGAAACTAAAGACACCAAACATTCCTTGCTATTCTGAAGCTATCGGTAATTTCGGCCTACAAATGCAGTATCACAATATGCTTAAATATGTTCTTCAAATGATTATATGTCAATTTTGGGATAGTTGGCAAAATTTCACAGAAATCTCAAACTTAATAAACATCATGAAAAACATGGTTTTCAGAATTCAGTCAGGCGATATGGTGAGTCCAAGTGACAATGTCCCATACGAGAAGGATATAACAGATGACGAGTCGGAAATACGAAAATATCATGAATATTAAAGTACAATTTCAAAATTAGAATTAGAAATTTATTTTTTTTATTTTTAAATTGTGATATGTTCACAATATTTCAGAGAGAAAGCATTGATAGCTTCTGAATATAATATAGCGAGGTGACTTTGGTGTCTTTTTACTTAATTAACTGACTTAATTAGACTATTGTGCGCGTACGTAGACAACATGCTCCAGAGTGGCGTTTCTTAAATCCTTTGATTGAAGCTTAACAAGTCTGTCATTACATAGGCCATCATAGACCAACATATCTGTTTCATACTGGATAATACCAAAGAAGTGTTGATGTCTGTGTAGTGTGGCTCCTGCTAGTTGAAACGGTATATCGCCAAATAGGATCGCCTTGGGGTAATTCCTAATATCTTGTTCCAGAAACTGCAGTCTCACCAAGTCGCTCACAGGGTAAAGCAGCAGTGGAGGAACATCATTCTCCTGCACAGTACGCATGTGTGTCCGCCTTCCAAGACAAAGGAATGCTTCGCTGTAAAATCAGATGTAAATTTTTTATAGCAAGCAGGAGTTTACATGTAGGCTGTATTACTATTATTGTCTGGATGCCGTTCACAATTTTCAACATTTTCACATTTGGTGCGCTGGGAGGGGAGGAAGCAACACCAATTACACTTTTTCAGTTTCATGAAAATGGAAAAAGAGTACGCTAATTGTACTCTTGTGAAAATGTTGATAATTGTGAAGGGCCCCTTACATAGCATGGTACCGGCATATATTATACATCTGATTTGGATAGGCCTAATCCTCCATTCTTACCAGTACGAACGGCCCCAAGTTGAGGCCCCTTTGCAGATTTAGAAACAACTTTAAATACATGTAATAAATACACAACAAAACCAGCTTTCCTACCTGTCACCAGCCTCGTCAAGGTCAATCACCTTCTCGGAAATGTATGGTGCATCCTCGGGTACAGGACAGTTGTCGGGGAAACTCAATCGACAATCCGTCTGATATGGCCCAAACCAGTTGTCAATAGCACTCTGGAAATTGGTGTTCCCTGCTGAAGCACTAGAAATAGAATGAAAGTGACAATAAAACTGGATATGGGTACGTTCTTTGGAGCCACTGTTTTAATAGTTTCCATCTTCATAGCAGGCTACATATTATTTTCTCCGTCAAGTCCAATCAGCCGGGATTGTGGTTTTAAGACCCTTCCTCTTGTTTTTAGAATGATTGTGACATAAACCGAAAAGGTTTCTGCCATACCAAGCATATCAGAAACGTACCTTAGTGTTAGGCCATCGAGTTCCTGGAGTCTTCTCTGGGCCGGACAGAAGGTGCTGTCGCACATGCTGTCGACTGACGAATGAACGAGGTTGTTCAATGGCTGGCCAATTCTATCCCATTCACTCCCGTAGAGGTCGACAAGTCTAGGGAGGCGGTTTTGAATGACGCCGGTGTGCCTCAGCCAGACGACTTTGGCTTCAGCAAAACGTCTTCCTCTCATGTGGTCGATTACAACTCGGAGGCATCGTGCAGTTGCATTTTCTCTTGCCGACTCATCTAATATCTTCTTAAACGCGGCATTAGAGTCATATGCCAAAAAGACAATTGTCATCACGTTGTCGATGACACAAGTGTTTTGTAGTGTGCACACATTACTTTTTGTATTGGCATCTCGCACTTGACCACCCCAGGGAGGGACTGCAGGGTATTTGTTGCTCTTGGCATTTTGTTGGGTTTGTGAAGCTTCTGATATTTTTTGTCTTTTTTTGTTTCGACACCACCCATCTTGTGACAGGTCAACGCCCATACTGTCATCTCCCAGTGTACTTGTCATTTTTTTTCGCTTTTTGGACAGCGTATTCTTCTTCCCTCTATTGCCACTGGATGGATGAAGTCGTTCCCGCAATCGGCCCCTGATTGTTTTCTTCAGTTTACGGATGAAGTTGGCCGGTCTCAATCCACGTTTCCTCCGCAAGACATCAACTTTTACCATCTTGAACCATGCCTCAACAGGCGCATTTGTGTCCCTTGTCTCTGTCTGTTCTTCAGATGTGATGTCGCTGTCCCGTGAGTATCTATCCAGGTCCCCAAGTAGCATGCCACTTAGCATGGGATAGATGGGCAAGTACTTGTTGAGCAGTAGTTTGAGATGCTGCTCCGACCTGAATTCATTGGGCAAGCCATGTCCCCCTTCTGTTTCCTCAACATTCTGTTCAATGTTACTGAAGTGGGCAGTGAATGGAGACGCTGCCATTATTGTCCCCTCGTCATCTAAAATGTCCTTCTCGTATGGGACATTGTCACTTGGACTGACATTATCGCCTTCTTCGTCCATCTCTGTGTTATAGGGTAGAGCCTTACGCCGAATCCTGTTCAGGGCTGCTTTAAGCTGGTCGGTTTGCTCTTTGGATTTTAATATTATGCAGCAATCCTTGAAGATGTTCGATGCTTCCTCAAGCGATGTTGAGTTAATGATGCACGTCATCATGTTCATGACAATCTTCCTTTGTTTTTTATTGTGTTTTGTTGTTTTTCTCAGGTTTGTAGACAGATTGTGCATTATATGAGCTGTGCACAAATGCACGACGGTTAAATCTCTGACATTTGCATAGGCCTTCTGATATATCTGCATCGCAGTCTTGAGGTACATCTTTACTGTCATTCTGTTAAAGACGTTTAAGCAGCTTTGTATTAAGGCCCAGCTCCAGTCAGACTCAACCTTCTTCGGATGTATCTCGTGATGTCTTTCAACCTTCCCTGCCCTGATGATAGATTGCAAGAAGTGTACTAGGGCTGGTATCGTGTGGTAAGATGAAAGGAAGTCCCCAACAGAGATGGGAGGAAGTTCAACCTCATCTTTTACTACAAGTGAGTAAAGTAGAACACGATGCTGCTCGGGAATCTTCTGGAGGATACTTCCTGTGGCATCAAAGTATAGGTTGAGTTCACGTTTTTTAGACAAATTGCAGAGGATGTCTATCTGCTCACGGCAGAAAAGTTGCACCGAAAAGGGATCGGCAGAAACGTATTGAATGAAGGGATCCTCTTCGTCTTCATACACCTTCTTCAAGAGCAGGACCTCCTGAATTATGTCCTTGTGCATCATCTCTTGCTGTAGGATCTCTGAAACGGCCTTTCGTAAGACTGCCTTTGAGGGAACCATTGTGAGATTTCCTGACCTGAGTTGCGCCTCAGGAGCTTCAGAGAGATTTTCATAGAACAGATTGGTTACACCAACAGCCTCAGCATTTGCAGCGGAAGACCCACGTCGAGTCCCCATCAATCGACGGGATGATATTTCATCTTGTTTATGCTGAACAATTCCTCCTATGTTGGTGTAACCAACTCGAATTTCGTCCTCTTCTTTACCTGGCTCTTCTTGCATTGTAAATTGATGAACGGCCTGGCATGATGGTCCCCGGCATATGGCCTTGCCTCTAAAAAACGGAGCATTTTTCTTTCTCGAATAAAGCCTTCTCACCCTATTGAATTTAAATGATAATGTGCAGCTGGGATTATCTTTACTAAATTTTTCATAGAACATGGTTGTCCACTGTCCCCTCATTTTTCGTTGGGTACTTGACGATTTCTCTGGTCGGATGAGCTGCCATTCAGCTACGGAAAGAACAATGTAATGGGGTTCTTCACTTCTGTCATCTTCATTCCTATCACCTTTATCCCTCTCATCTTCTAGCTCCTGATTTTTAAGCCTCTCGTTTTTTTGCCCTTTATCCCTGTTTCCTTCATCTGCACACTCCTCGTGTTCGTGTCTTCCATCTTGTAGCCCTTTGTCTTCGTCCTCCGCATCGTCTAACCCCTCTTCCTCTTCATCATCATCTTCCTCATACCCTTCCTCTTCTTCATTGCCAGCGTTTTCTAACTCGTCCTCTTCATTCCCGTCATCTCTTGATTACTCTTCTTCAGTCCCGTTATCTTTTGAGTCCTCTTCTTCATTCCCGTCATCTCTTGAGTCCTCTTCTTCAGTCCCTTTATCTTCTGACTTATCTTTTTTGTCACGCCTATCTTCTAAATCCTCTTCTTCGTCACCCTCACCATCGAACTCCTGTTCTTCATTCTCCCCATTTCCTGACTCATCTTTGAAACCATCTTCTTCATTCCCCTCATCTTCTGAAACCTTGTATTTGTCTCCCTCATCTTCTATATCATCCTCTTCATTCTCATTTTTTGAAACATTATCTTCGTCACCCTCATCTTCAAAATCATCTTCGTCATCCCTCTCATCATCTGAAACTGCTTCTTCCTCATCCTCATACTCTTCTAACAGTTCTTTGTTTCCCTCGTTTTTTACCTCTCTAACTTTGCTCCACTCATCCTTCATCTCATCATTGTCACATGGTCTGTTGTCTTGTGACTCCAATCTATAACTTTCATGTGTGTTATCTATTTTTCTCTTATCTTCATTTGACTTTCGATTGTCCTCATTGTCATTGTCTTTGGTTTCACACCCTTTCCTTCTCCTGCCCCGTTTTTTCTTGTCACACGTCTTAATTACCTTTCTACCGTCCTGATAATTATCATGAACATCACTTTTTGCGTCATCACCTCCCTTGTCTGCAGGTTCGTTATTTTCCATTTTCTCATTATCACCCTTGCTGTTTTCATTCACTACTTTTTCTTTGCCTACTCTGCAGATATTGCTATCACCCTCTTCGTCATTAGGGACATGAATATTGCCATTCTTACCATGGGGTTCAGCTATGCTTTTACAGTCTCTTTCCGTCCATACACTGTCAATTATAGATCTCCTCTTCTTGAACGGCAGAAAAAATTCATTGCTGTTGAGGCGAAGTGGTCTCTTGTGCTTTCGACTGGGCCGGACGTTGACCTAAAAATATGCAAAACAAGAAATGTGTCTTTTTAAGTAATTGTTATAAAACAAATAGAGTGGTCGCAGTTGCTGTAATAGGCACACCCTCGGTGCCACATGGCGTCAAACTCGCAGTATAAATCCCGACTGCTTCCTTGCATTCTCTCTGATCTCTTTTGCGGACACCTTTGCAAGTTTTCTGGGGGTGCGCCTTCCGACTTTCTTTTAGCTTATACCCTAGCGAGTTTTCTGGGGGTGTGCTTTTGAGAGAGAGATAGGCATTTGACTGCTTTGCTAGTCGTACCCTTGGTCCTTGTGACTGTTTGTGTCTTCTCGTTTAAATATCAGTAAAGTTTAAATTAAAAAACAACCAGTTCCAAGAATAGGTACGTATGTTTTACCTCAGTAGAGACTTGATAGGTGTCAAGAGTCGCCGACGTTTTTCCCTAAAAGTAAAAATGTGGAAAAACAATGCACTTTCAAGTTTTGTTTGTGGGGAAAATTCTCTACGACAGTGCATATAAAGAACGTTTATGTTGGTATAATATTAGAAAGCCTGTTGCATTACCTAACCATATCAACAGTTTTGGTGTCATTTAATTTCATTGGGAGACCTCAAGAAAAAAGTAGATTTTCTCAATGTAAAAATAAAATTGATATATAATGTGGTGTATATAATATATAATATATTTCCTACCTTCTTCTTCAACCTCTGACTTCTTCGGGTCGGATGTCTCTTCGGTGCCATTTTCGGAATGTACTGAAAGTATGCATGGCGTTTTAAAGATATATTTGTTTCAACAGTCTACAAAACAAAGACCAAAGACCTAGAAAACCAAGATCCCCTATTCTACAAAACCAAGCCCCATCACAATTTTTATGTTTTCATTATTTTCTTCTGTTTATTTAGCTCCTGTTATTTCGGTTTGGACTTCAAATCTGCCAGTTTCATGGGCACGTTTTGTAACCACTGGCATGACTGTATCTATGTTCCACTATAAGAACAACCATAAAAGAATAAACCATAAAGGATCAAGTCTCATATCTTAATTTTACCATGTTTTATAGCTTCAAACCTCTTATCTCACCTCAAAACCTCAAACCTCATATCTCCCCTGACGGCAGTTGTAAACAGATTTTTATTATTCCTTTTATATATGATAGATCTAGGTAATCTAAATAAAATAGCACAAACTTTCATAAAAATCCGTCCAGTATTTATGGAGATATCGACTGTGATATGAAAAATGTAAGCTCCATAAATCCCTAAATCTTTACGAACGATCTATGGTGAAGCGAATTATTGTGCCGGAACGCCTGCACAAATTTTGATAAAATTTCTACTATTTTATTCTGATGACCGAGATCTATCATTTATAAAGGGAATAATAGAAATCGGTTCACAACTGACGTCAGGGAAGACGTTTGAATCAATAACATATGGTAAAATCAAGATCTGGGACTTGATCCTTTATGGTTTATTCCTTTATGGAATAACTCACAGACCAAATGTCGGTCCGATATGATTTTTGGCTTGGCCGCCAAAAATTATAACTTCAACGGGAACATGTGTACATGCACCAGGACCACACCCCCAGGTTAACCAGGGCAGTTAGGTCATCGATTCCTGGAAACAGGGCTAAATTTAGCCCTCCAAAACAAGATGGCTTTCAACCTCGACCCCGGCCAGGAAACATGTTTGCTTTGTGACATGCCGATGAGGGAATCCCGTCCCCACGTGAAAATTGAGCAATGCAGATAAATTCTGTTCTTTTTCAAGATTCAACGTCTACTTACCCTTACATCTGAAGCTGTGACTTAAAATACGCCGTCTAGATCGAAAAGGAATCCTTCATCCGAAAAAATCGTGATGCAAAAAGTAGCTAAAAGAAAATTAACGAAAATGCATAGAATATTAATATCGCTCACTGCTCTAACATCCTTCAATATTATAAATTCATCAGTGGCTACATGTAGCCACTGTTTTTTCTTAAATTTTAATCCATTTTGTAATTAAAAGTTATAGTGAACAGAAGAGAACACTACACAGATCGATAGTCACTGAAGAACTAACATTTTATTTTGCAATGATGGAATGAAATGCATGCATTTGACATAGCCTAGGCCTCCTCATTCGCTAAAGAGCAAACGGAGGCATAGCGGAGAACTTTAGCGAACGTTAGTGAAACGCGCCCCAGTTCTAATTTTAATGTCTCCCAGCAAAGTGTGTGGCGACAGTTGTGTGAAGTCTATCTGTCTCCTGGAATGTAGGCTTAAGAGATGCCATGACCTGGGCGTCACAGGGTTAATTTTGACTGTGAATGACCTTAAGTTGAAAATGACAAATAAGACCATTTAATGGCATATAGGCGAATAAGTAACTAGGTTTCGAACTGGTAACTGAATAAGTTTTACGTGTATTCGGAGACAGAGATTGTGCGCCGAGATTCGGAGCAGCTCTGTTCCCGTAGTTTACGTGTATTCGGAGACAGAGATTGGAGCAGCTCTGTTCCCGTAGGTTACGTGTATTCGGAGACGGAGATTGTGCGCCGAGATTCGGAGCAGCTCTGTTCCCGTAGGTTACGTATATTCGGAGACGGAGATTGTGCGCCGAGATTCGGAGCAGCTCTGTTCCCGTAGGGAATATCGGCGCACAATCTCTGTCTCCGAATACACGCAACCTACGGGAACAGAGCTGCTCCGAATCTCGGCGCACAATCTCTGTCTCCGAAGTGCTTACTCTGATCCGAAAGATAAGATCCTGATCCTGATTCTGATCCTGATTTCCTTCCTGTCCTAGTCCTAGTGAACCAGTCGGGTGCCTGGCCGTTATCCCCCCTCGCATAACACGTGTACAGGTGATGCAACCCCCCTGGGTCCAGTATATGCCTGAGCGTTACACCCCCCTGTCTGCCACGTGTTCGGCTGGCGCCGCTCTCTCGCCGGCGCGTGTACGTGAGGGCGCAACTCTCTGACCTCCCATATCTGGTAGCTATTCCACGCCGGCGGGGCTTTTCCAGATAACATCTAGTGAAAATTCTCAGTGTAAACAAACATCAATCAACGGGCTTACTCAATCAACGTCGGGGGTACTAAGATGGCTACGCTAATTTGAATCGCACGTCACGATTGCAGGTAGACTGGTACGGACCTTAACTCGGCCAAGTATCTTTCGCTACACTAAACTTATAGTTAGTGCAGCGTGTGGAACTCTCCACCGCGGAGCAGTCTAAGCTGAATCGCCGATCCTTGTGTGGAAAAATACCTTGAAAATCCCTCGAAGAGGGCCTCGTCGCGCCATCTATGGGACGCCATATGTACGAGAATAAATTCAGGGCGTGAAACGGAAGAAATGCAAACTCGCTTTTCTAAAGGAAAAGCTAACGCGCCGACCAGCAAACGAGCAATTACGAGCATTTGTATTTATTCTCGATCTACGTGCATAGTCGAAAGGCTTGTGGAATCGCCACAACTCCTCAATTGACCGATTATACGGCTTTATCCTATACCCAAAGGGCACTGCCAAAATTTTTCTAAATAGGGCAGCGAATAAGATTTATTGTCACCGCTGCGCGGCGTTTGCGCGCTTCGCACGGATATCCGGGCTGCAGATCGTCTAGTATGGGCAATATTAATATAATGAAACAATACATTACATATCCACTTCCTGGTGGATTTTAACTGAATCAGCTTCCTTATAGTCACTCACTGGATAACCATTGATATTGGATTTACACAAAATTACACGAATAATTAACGCAATAACATCAACTATGGACTATTTTCTCAAACACAAATTACTGTCTTAGAGCTTGATGCTCATACAGATTAACACTGAGGGTTAACTCATCCACTACAATCATAAACTGGAGATTATATTTCACAAATTGCTGTAAGCTATCTGCTTTCACAACACTCTCATCCACTACAGTCAAACTCTAAAGATCAAGTCTCTCTGGAGCCTTCCTCATCCGGGTTGATCACCTTAGGGGAATAGGAGGTGATAACCTATCTGTATCAAAAGGTGACGTCTGAGGGTTCACAGTCAACTTCAATGGGGTGTCTATGGGCCGCGGAATGTTATCAGCTCGTGGTAACTGATTAGGCATTAAATGGGACTACGGAACAACCCAATCAACACCAAACCGATCATACAAGTCCTTGTCCCTTGTGATCTCACAGTCTCTCTCCATGCCTACTTCCATATCACTCGGAATTTTCTTAAAGAATGAAGAGTTTCTGGTCACAGAATGCTGCCCATCTGATGCAGATATCATACTACCCTTCTTCTGAGTAATGGTTAGTGGTGTGGTTTGATATGGTAAGCCACCTTTGACAAGATTGTATGGGGTTTTCACTAACACTGAGTCGCTTACTTGTAGGTCAGTAGGTTTCACATATCTGGCTGAATCAGCATGGAATTTCATTTTCAGCTTCTGTTGAGTGTCCCGTACGCGTACAGTGTCACTGATGGGGTCATGTTCCACAATCTGGGGTAGTTTGGTTTTGATCGCACGCTTCAGGAACAATGTAGCAGGTGCAACGTCTGTTGTAGAGTGATGAGTACATCTGTAAGTTCTAGTAAACCTTGTAGAGCCCTTCTCCAGTTGACTTTCGCAATTTTCACATGCTTTTTCAGCGTTCTACTTCACCATTGGCTCTAGGCCAAAAAGGGGTCACTTTGCGATGCCTAAAACTCATAGTTTCTGCGAACTTGGCAAACTCCTCTCCGTTGAAAACTGTTAAAATCGTTAACTGTCCAGAAAACTGTTATCAGATTTCACGGTCTCTGGTGTCCCAAATGTTGCAAAGATTTCGTCTAACTTTGGAAGTACAGCTGCTGCTGCTGCAGTTGATCGCACAGGTACCACAAATGGGAAACGTGAATAATCGTCTATGAACAGCATCACTGTTTCCCCCTCGATGTGTGCGAAATCAACACTGGTAAGTTCAAACACCTTTCCAGGTAGCATGGTTCAGGCCCGTCGGAGCCGCTACGGTTGGTACGGAATTGACCGTACCACTTTTTAGCCTAAAATGGAAAAGAAAAAAAGAGAGATGGAGAGGGAGAAGAAAAGAGAAGAGAAAGAGAGAGAGAGAGAGAGAGAGGGAGAAGAGAAGAGAAGAGAAAAGAAGAGAAGGTGGGAGGGTGATAAATGTCATGATCATAGGCTGATCGTAGGCTTATCACCAGGGTAATAAGCTGGTAGCGGGGTAGCGGGGAAGCTGGTAGCGGAGAAGAACACGAACATCGAAGTGACTTTGCCTTTTTTCCATTATTATGAAACGCCATTATCACATAAACAGAAGAACAGCATATATGCCACAAAACTTTTTCAACCAATCACAAATCTTAAAAATAATATCGTTAAGAAAGTGATAAATGAAGCTCGCCACCTGACCGTGAAACCTCCTATTTATAGGTTAGGGTTAGCAGCTTGACCTCAATTTCTATTTAATGAAGAGTAGGCATACTTTGTCCTTTTCTGCAGTACAATAAAAGGATAAAAAATCACTTTAAAGTGTGCTAAATTGCATGATTTGCACCCCCAATTCAAAAAAAGTTCTTACCACACCCTCCCCCGCTCGATCGCTCCGCTCCCTCGCATCGTTTCCTGTCCTGTAATCAAATTTCTAAAATCTGGTCACCCTGTCAACCCCTTCGAACCCCGCTGGGGGTTTCACCCCCCAGACCGCCACTGAAACCGTACAGGGGCGTGTACAGGGGGATTAGGGGGGGGTCCAAGA